GAATCCTTTAGCTGACTATTATATGCTACACAATAGATAACTGATTTATTAGAAGTAACCATGAATCTACTATCCAACATTACCATCAGTAAAGGTGACTAATTCATAGTCATCAGTTACTTAGAGTTTAAAACAAACTCTGTGTGGGTTACCTCATACTTCCTGTGGCTGATGGTGTTCCTTAGTATCTGCCTTCCTGAGAGGCCTTTGCCTGTCCCATTGGCAAAGCTCTTGAAAAAGGATACTTTTTCACTTAAGATCAGTCCATGTTAAAGACTTGTCTCTTGTGTCCCCTAGAAATGACTAGACAAGAATTTTATTTTATGTATTATGTAAGAAATTAAACTGTGCTGCTGGGTTCTTGGTGGTATTACCCCCGTCAGTGTTCCTGAAATATATTTTACCTTCTTGTACATAAATAAATAGACATGCACCAAGGAAGAGGGTGTTTTGGGTTGATTTTGTTTGTGTTTTGTTTTGGATTTTTTGCTGTTTGGTTGGGGCGGGGTGAGTGTTTTTGTACGCTGGGTTGCGGGTTTTTTCCTATCTGTACTGAGCCTTGGGGTTATAGAGGTATATTTATCATGGTATTCTTTTTTACTTAGTGTATGTGTCCCTGTGCTAATGGCTTTCTTTATCTGTTAGCACAAATATTTAATACTGTTTAGAAACCTATGTGTTGATAAACAAATGCTTTCTCCAAAGCGTATTCCAACTTGCATCTAAACATGGCCAGATTTGACAGCAAGCTGACTGTGTCTGTTGTGCAGTGCCTCAGAAACCACCTCCATCAGTACGTTTTAAGTTCAAGTTGTGCATATAGTAATGTGTATAGAAATTAATGATGTACTGTTAAAGTGCTTGCTGTTAGATAGCTGCTGATGCATTAACATCATTTTGGTGCCAGTTAGGACCACAGATTGAAAGCATTAAGGAGCTGTTGCCTGGTGTTGGTATAGGCATGGTACCACAGTATTTGAAAGCAGGGATAGATTCTCAAGCATTTCTGTTAGCATTTACATTGTTTGGAAAATACAGAAAACCAGCTTGGTTTAAAGCTGTCTGAAAGTAAACCTCCAAAACAAAGCATGAGTTGATAGATACTTGAAAATTATCTTCCCCAGATTCACTGGGTCATGTTCTAGACTTGCATTTCGTTACCTTTGGTTTTGCGTATTAAATTTCTGTAGAAAATATAGATATAATACTTCTGAAAAGCAGTACTCTTGTAATAACTCACTGGTCAAACTGAATTTCAGTTAGAACTTTAGACATGGTTTCAAAGTGTTTACTAGATCAAGCTATTAGTTGCAAATGAAGTTCTGCCTTCCTAAAGTGGTATTTCAGTTAAGCATTCAACATTTCAACATGAAAAAAAATAGTAACTTCTGGACTACCTAGAAATTCTACTTCTGTGTACTTGTAGAAACATGAAGGTCACAAACAGCGGTTATGTCTCCTGATCAGGTAACATCTGAAGAAGGGTTGTTGAGATTGGAGTATTGGATGTAGGTGCTTAAGTTCTTTATTGGATCTGGGTTGTAACCTACAACATTTCTATATTAAAATGGGCATTTCAGTTTCAGTATGCACTGCTGTCTTAAGTTTTTGTATTCTTAATCATGTGTTTTTCTCTGTAAGCTTGCTTCCATTCCCTGCTTTATACTTGAGTCAGTGCTCAGATGCTAGTGAAACTCCTGCTTGTTGTGTCTTACATTTTAAAATGTGGTATGACTATAATGCTGCACGGCAAGCTAGGTAATACTAGATCAGCAGAGGGGAGAGGAAGTCTGGAAGTCGTAGGCTTCTTGAATGAAACACGGTAACACTGCACACAAGGTGTTAAGATTTATCACAGTAACGATGCTCAAAATACTTATTTTTCCAATGTGCTTCTTGAAAGGTTGTCTCTTTATAATAGTATATTGGATATACAAGCTTGATCATTGTTTGGTTTTTACATCATGCATTGTCTGTTAAGAAATGGGACGTGTCGCTACGCATGTGTTGCAGTGTATTCACAAGTATGTTTAGTAAGCTTTGCTCTTGAACCAGAGGATAAGAGTCACTTGAATTTCAGCAGTCACGTGCAATACTTAGAAATGTTTCTGTTAAATTATGTTTTGTTACTGAAGAGAGAGACTCTGGTGCCCATTAACATAATGCAGTGCCCTCTGTAGAGACAGGTAACTTTCTTGCTTTTGCAATTAACTTGAGCAACTGTTGTACACTCTCTCAGCTTCATGCATGGGATATTTCTTGGTTTGCTATGTTTCTTTAATCTATTTGGAATGTATTTATAACTTGTAAGTGAAAATTTGGATGTTTT